GCAGAGCAAATTCCTCATGAACTGACATCGCTCCTCAGCTGCCGTCTGATCAATTCTATTGTTGGCTTAAGAGATGCATGTCATTATAACGGAGCTATCTACCGGCGGAAAGAAGCAAGCATCTCTTTCTTACTCATATGCTGATATGAACACATGTACCCACTCACATGCACACAGACACAGTCACGCACATATAATTTGTAGGCCACACACACAACGATGCACACATGTAACCAACAGCCGTGTGTGCACACACACAAACACACAACCACCCACATACACCCTTGGAAGAAGCCATTCACACTTCGCCCCCATAGAGTACATGTCAGTCCATCTGGGATCATTAACACTATGTTAATGAATATAGGGCTGGGGCCAGGAGTATGTGAGGAGACGAGAGAGAGAGAGAGAGAGAGAGAGAGAGAGAGAGAGAGAGAGATAAAGAGGACAGAAGGTTGGAGGATAATGGATTCTCTCCTAACAAATGCACTGCCCGAGGTACTTGTAGGGGAGGGGGGGACAGACGAGGGATAAGAAAAGATTGAAAGTGAGGGGAGGGAGGGGGGGGCAGCAGGAAGAAAACCAGACCAAACCAAGACGGGGGAAGTAGGAACTGAAAGGGAGAAATAGAGCATGAAAGAGAGTAAAGGGGATACATTCTAGAGCTATATGTGAATGCAATGTGAAAAGAAGACAAGAGAAAGTAAAGTAATCAGGGAGAGATGCACCCAGTACGTTTTGGCTAGTGGCTGATGAAGGCTCTGTAGAAATAACTGAACAGATGAACAGAAGAAAGGGAAGGAAGAAAAGGCTGCAGAGACAACAGATGAGTCGAGAGAACAGGCAGGGAGACAGACAACGAGATACAGTATAACAAATGATGGCAGAGGCAATGCAGAGGCCGCGTGGTTAAATATTTCACCGGGTTTTGTTTGTGCTTTTGTGTGTGGGTGTGTTTGTGTGTCTGTGTGTGTGCATGGGGAGTGAGAGTCCCTGGGAGACAGAAAAGGAGGACAGAGTGGCGGGGAGGGAGCAAACGAGTGAAGTGTGCCTGTTGACTGGGCGAGTTAATGATTCCTGCGGTCTGAATAGTGAGAGAGTGTTAGTCTGGGGGATCTAATTTACCCCCTACTGACACACACATGCAACATTGTTATAGTTTGCTTGCATGCATGTCCTTGGCTTGTTTGGAGCTCATGGGTTGCACGTTTGGAAACAGCTCACGCTCCATGGCGAGTTTCCAATAGCTTCCCAGAGCAGAGACACCACCTCATTAAGACTTTGTCTTTGCAAGAGAACCCATTTGCCCCCCAACCGGGCTAAATCTAGACACACGGAGCGTTATTGAGCGGAAGTGTGCCTCCCTGTGTTCGAATGGGGCGACCACCTGTATGCAGATGAATGGGTGTGAATAGGGGCCGGGAGACATGCCTTTGTGGTGGCAGAGAAGGAGCAGCTTGTCGGAGTGTGCCGCTATGAGCCAGAGGGCCAAGGGCCCGCAGGAGGCTGGGGATAAAGGGACAGAGGGCAGCAGGGTGACAAGCTGTCCATGTGTAGATGAAACAATGCCAAGTGTTAACAAGCCTAAGCTAGCTGTAATGACAGAGGTTGGGTGAACAAAAGGCAACTATTTGAAATGCAATCTGTGATTAACTAGCATCAATAAGGAGCATATGACAGTGATTTAGCCCCTTTAAGCCCCTTTATACCCTTTGCATTGTATCATAATGTTGATCTTCCCTATGACCTTATTTTTCCAACAACAGCTGAGATTATTCTCCGAGGGAGAGGCAAGGAAGGAGAGGCGCACATGGCACATTAGCAGCTGAGGAGGAGGGCCCGACGAGTGATGACATGATAAAGTCAGGACAAAAAAAAAAAAAAGGCAGAAATGTATTCAACTGGATAACATCTCGCTCTTTCAAATGCAGAAACAACAGAGGAAGCAGCACTCCTACACAGCTTTAAACTCCAATTAAAACCTGTGCACGCACATGCACGTGTTCGGGCAGATGTGTTCATACACTCGCCTGAAAAGCAGTTTCTCTACCATCCCTGTTCCGTTCCTTGTTGTGTTTCGGTGTGGCTGACGCCCAGTGTTTCAATGTGTCTTTTATCTACAACACCGGACTTTTTCTAAGTTTCATTCCACCTAATTGTGATGTATTCTCTCGCCTCTATTAAATTCTACTGCTTCATATTTCTGTGTGTCTTGGGAAACCTCTTCAAGACAGAGATCCCTGACCAGCTCTGATCCCCGCCTCAGGCCGGCAGGGTGAGTGGAGAGGACGGAGTGGAAGAGAGGAGCAAGACTGAACATTTAATAGGCTGAGGGGAATCTGTCACATATCCTGAACCTCTCTTATCAAAACATGTATTCTAGCTGAGTTGATACTTTTCTTCTTCCTCTGAAATCATGTTTTTGTTTTATGTATCTCTTCACTCCCCAAAACTCTTCTAAATATTCCCCTCTGATAGAAAATGCATTTGCTGAGGTTGGGAGAGTAGGAAAGAGAAGATCAGGCATCGTTAGGTACAGGTAGCACCACTCGCTCTGTGTTTTCTTCTACTTAATTACACAAGTTATGTAATTGTGGGATTTCCATAGCATGTTGAACAACTCGTGGATAGATGACGCCTGGAGACAAGTGCCTTGGAAAAAAACAAGGCGGTTTCCGTTTGCTGAGAGGTTTGTGTGGCTGTCAGGTCTTCCCCCAGACTTCCTTTCATCCAATTTTAGAGCTGTCGAGCTTTCTATCATCTCAAACACTTTTTCTGTGAGTTTCTTTTTTGAGCCATCAAGTTTTCTCTGCTTCACTATCATTCGCAGAAGCCCTGGTCTTTCCTGTCGGTGTGTGTCTGTGTGTGCCTGTATGGGGTGTGGGAGGGTTAAGTCTCACTCTGAGAGTCATCCCAGCTACAACACTATCATAAGAGCTAAAGTGTGTGTTTCTCTCAGTGTGAACATGTACATGGGAGATCCCAGCCATATGACTCCTGGCTGCAGCAGCAGAGAGGAGGTGTATTTGTGGGTTGTGGATTTCTAAATTTGTGTTTCTGTCTCGCTATACTGTTGGATGTATGTTACAAACATCTATGTATCATGACAACATCCCATGTTTGAGCAGCAGAGGTCTGATGGCAACGAGGGACAGTCTCCTGGTGTTGTGTAGGAGAGAGAACTGAGGGTTCCTGCAACAGTATTTGCATTTCAATTCATTCCTTCGAGGAAATCAATATGTTTAAAGCAGTTTCTGGTGTCGCTAAATGAAAGATGGTGGGCGTTACAGGTATAGTTGCGAGAACATATGAAATCCTCCAAAGGTTTTGCATACAGAGTTTATCATAAACTGGACCTGTTCTTCATCAGTTCACTTCATCACTCCTCTTCCTCTTCCTCTTCCTTTTCCCCCTCTTTTTTTTGGGAGACATTATAGAGCGGAAAGGCACCCTCAGATATGATTAACCCCCCGACTGTCTACGGGATCTACAGTCAGAGTGTGTACATGTGTGTGAGGGTGTTAGTGTGTGTGTGTGTGTGTGTGTGTGTGTGTGTGTGTGTGTGTGTGTGCTCTCTCTTGATCCTCCGAGTGCCAGGACGTGTCTGCTTGCCCAGCCAAGCCTAGGGACAGTCAAACACTCAGCTTGTCTGCGCATACTAATACACACACACACACACACACACACACACACACACACACACACACACACTCTGTTTCCCTGCAGCTCTGGAGCTCTGAACCGGCTAACCCTGGCTGGGCTCCATCCCTGCCTGAGGGAAACCCTCTCCTGCTGAGGCCACAATCCCGCTGACACCCTATGGTCTGGAGTTTATCCACTCCATCTGTCAGGTTGTTTTCTGAAGTTACCTGTCTGGGGACGCGGTGAAGCGGAGACCACAAGATTAGACTGGCTGATAAGACGATAATAGTTCTTTACTATCTGACAAAAGGTAATCGGTACACCAGCGTGCCCAGACAACAGCAGCCTACCGGAGCATACGCACATCTCTAGGGTTCTCAAAGGATTACAAAACAACCACTGGGACAACTCTCTTTAGTATATAATATACTAAAGTACTCTTTCTCTGCAGCACCAACATATTTGCAGCTCAGTTTCAAAACAATGCAATTTAGAACAATACAAAACATACAAGTTGACAAACTTGTATTACAATATATAATAACAACCCAACAACTCAGCACAATACAATTGCAACACACAGTACGTCACAATGCAACACCCAGACATTACAGAGTTACAACATAAAACAACTGACACCAACATAAAACAATGGCTGTATGAATTCATATACATGAATTATCAAAATAAATGATACATTTTTTTTGTATTTTTTAAGTATATTTACTCAATAACTATACTTAAGAGCAATTTTCAGGTACAGTACTTGTGCTTTACTTGAGTATTTAATATTCATGCTACTTTATACTTCTGCTCCATTCATTTTTATCGGGAAATATTATACTTTAAAAGATATAGTTACTAGCTACTTTTGAATAATGATACTTGAGTTATATGTTATTGTAGATGGTACACATTGCCTTATATTCTCCTAATTTATTTAATTTAATTCAACATCTGATAAAACCTGTTGACAGCTCGCTAAACTTCATTCTAATCAAGTTGCTCAACAATCTATAATAACCAGTGTCCTGTAAAGATATGTGTTTCAGTGTTTATTTTTTTTATTGTTCATTAACTTTTGAACTTTGTATTGCTTCTAATTGTTTTTTTCTTCTCACCACATTGATTTATATGTCTTTATTAGGGTTATCATAGGCTCCTTCTAGTGGTATTGTTTTTGTGTTTTTCGATGTTCCTGATGTGAAGTGCGAGCAGCTGAGCGTCTCCAATGGCTGCGGGCGGTGGGCGGGGCATTCAGACTACCTTACAGCTATTGGCTGGCATCATATCGAGGGTGGAGCTACAGCCAGATAAAACAGTCAAGTTGCGCTTCTGTGAACCAGTCAACAGTTGCAACAGTGTTTGGTCAGTGACATCACTCTGAACTGCTTTGAATACTCTAGTAGTGTAAAATCCGCGATTGTTTTTCGTTCGCATATTTACGCATTTAAATCTTCAATAACAGAGTCATTTTTAAATCATCGCTTACTAATTGAACTTGGCGAGCGTCCTGTGGAGAAGAGGCAATATGGATTTGGTGTGTCTGATGTGTTTGGTGCTGAGCATCGGTGCTTGGTTCGCCTGTGCGGAGAGACACAGCGTCTACTGGAACAGCACGAATCCAGAGTAAGTGCAGATATTTGCTTTTGTGCGCTATTTGTTGTTTGCGCGCGTGTGTGTGCCTAAAGTTGTCTAATGTGTGAGTTGTTGTGAAGGGGCAATCACTCACTGTTCTGTCTGTGTGACTGTGTGTCTATCATTTTCTACATGTAAAGTCTCCATATAGTCCGCATTGTCCCGCGTGTCTTTAAGTACCCGATGCTGCGCACGCTCTTAAACGGTTACAACTAAGCTTGTTGTTTTCATTCATGTGGCAATTAAAGGTTCATGTGGCGTTTAAGGTGTGTAGTCCTTTTTAAAGTTGCCTAGCAGGATTGTCAAGGTGTTATTACTATACAGCAGCACCAGCAGTGGGGTTTAAAAGCAGGAGATTGTGAGCGGATGCCTAGACAGATGGACATATTCCCCACTATATTTAACTGCAACACATAGACTCAGACATACTCTAATAGTAGAAAATAGACTGACGAGTATGAACTTGGACAGTGACGCTGTCTAGGGTCTGCACCTGTGTCTGTGTTGGTGCAGTGTCTCATGGAAAGTCTATAAATGAAAAAGAATCGGTGTTTCAGACTCACTTTTATAGAGATGCCACATCAACTATTAGTATGTTACAGTGTTTTTTCATTGGATAAGATGGTGTGTGTGAGTGTGTGTGTGTGTGTGTGTGCGTGTGTGTGTGTGTGTGTGTGTGTGTGTGTGTGTGCGTGTGTGTGTGTGTGTGTGTGTGTGTGTGTCAGAGTAAGAGGCACATATTGCTGATTATTTTGTTTTGAGGTCAGAAATGTAACGCTATCCGACCACTCAGTGGGATCGATGGATCCTCGCAGACGCGCAATATCGCAGTGCGATTTATTGAGCTTTTAGCGTGGAGGGAGTGATCCCCACGTTTGAAAGACAGTATTCATTTATAAGCGAGCTGAAACAAAAGGACGGTCCCCGCTCCTTTACTGCCGAGATAGGTCGATTAAAATCCGCCACCGAGACTAAACAAGGGCAAAAGCCATTATGGCCTTTTAGGCTTGTCTTGATTACATTACTGGCTCTCTAATTGCCCTTTAAGAATGACAATAGACACAGGACTGAAAAAGAGCCCCTGTAACAAGGAACACAATTGTCCTGATAATTGGATAAGAAGTCTAATGGAAAGACCTGTCGTCATGAGCAGTGCTTGTGTCATGGGTTAGTCCAGGTGTGACTCACCGGCCAGGGTTTGACCCACCTGGGTTTTACACCTGAGTCACCACACACAGAGGGAGAGGAAGTGTGGCTCAGGTGAGACGGAAAGAACCGGTAGAGAGGAAATGTGAAACCAGAGGCTTTTTTGTGTCCGGATAAAGTTTTCCCTCAACTAATGATGAAGACAAAAAGAAGGTCCAGAGGGAGACCAGGGGTGGTCTGCTGTCTCTACTACAGCCCTGGACTGTTACTGCTGTCAAATGGGAGTTGTATAACCAGAAATCATAATGTAACTCTTAACAGACATGCAACAAATGACACATAACAAACGTGTATCTATTCTGCCTGTTCTTCTCTCATCATCCGTCATACTTCTGTTGAACCAGGACGATTTAGATGTCTTGTTCTCTGTTGTCCACTTAAGAGGTAAAGAGAAATTATGAAAAGTCAGGGACAGAAATGACTATCAGGAAGATAATGGCAGCTTAAATTAAACCATAATCGGCTGACCCCCTCATGCCACTCATATTATTTATTTTTTTGTCTCATTTTACAGCCTAATCTCCATTAGTCCTATATAATCCTTCACTCCCAGACCCCCTCCTTCACCTCCTCTTTTCGTCTACCTCTCACTTCTCCTCTCTTTTTCCATGATCTCTCTTGTCTTCTGGTTTCCTGCTTTCCAGCTAAAAGCCCACCTGCCCCGATCCGTTCCCCAGTGATCAATCAGTCACCTGTTCAGGCTCACGTTGGGGCTTTGACGGCAATGGGCCGTGGATAATTAATGCTAATTGATTCTTGGTCCGATTGAGCAGCAGTGATTTGTCTTAGGTGGAGGACAGTGACCAGATGGCAGCAGTCTGCCCATTCATGTCAGGGAGTATAGAGACGTTTAGGTGTGTGTGTTTTTCTCTAAACAATGCATGTAGGAGTGTGTTTTGATTTTCACCAACGTGTGTGTGTGTGTGTGTGTGTGTGTGGTTTTCCTACTTGACAGATGGAGAGGCATGTTTTTCTCAGTCTGGTCTTGTTTTTACACTACGTGTCTCTGCCTGTGTCGTGTGTGAGAGAGAGAGACTTTGAACTTGTGCTGCAATTTACCAGCTTTTACCAAGAAGTGATTTTATTTTTGTTTTGGACAGAGAGTACGTGATTGTTAGAGTGTGTGTGCGTGCGTGCCCAAACGTCAGAGTAAAATAAGGAGTGTCTGTTACCGTAGGCAGTCTTACCGAGACATGATAAATGTGTGACTCACACTTGCACACACCGGGGGGCAAGAGGGTGGACTTGGATGTTAATATTAGCTACAGCTGGCATTCCTCCCTGCTGTTACTATACTCAACTCTGTCAGCTGTGTGTGTGTGTGTTTCTCACTGTACAGTACCTGTCTCTTCCTCTACCCATCGTCGCTCCTTTTCCTCTCTTTAACAGCTGGGTCTCCTCCCAGACTGGCCGCTGGCCTCGAGCCCTCCATCTTCTTTTCTCTCTACTTACTGAATCGGTTGCATTCAAGATCTCTACTTTGCTGCACAGATAATACACAGCCTCCTTTAAATACACTATCTCTGTGTTATTGGGCTGCTTTCCTCCATCCAGGGTGGCCTGGCTTTATTTCCCATGCCCCCAGTATCTGTGAAGTATCTTTATCAGGAGTTTGGTGTAATGTAATATTCAGTCTATCTCCGTCGGTGTCTGGCTCTGCCTTTGCTGTTATTGAAGCAGCCGGGCCTGCCTTGACACGTACATATGGCCTGGAGTCTAGATCCCCAGATGCCCCGCCCTTACCCACTCAATTTGTACATTTTCTACATTTAGTTTGCTCTCTCTTTCCACTCATTGTCTCCTCCTCCCCACTCCATGGCCCGTCTGGTTGAAGGCCTGTAATCTCACCAAAATGAGAACACACAAACTTGCACTCACACACACAAACACACACACACAAACATAGATTACAGACAGTTTATAATCTGACCATCTGACCCTCAGACACACAACCTGTAGCTGTAGCTTAATAAACCTGTAGCTGTCACAGTGGATCATTCCCACCATAATCTCCCAGATGGGATCCATCCTACATCAGCACCCAGCAGCACCTGGAGATTTTAGTGACCACGTAAACTACAGTATACTTTGTATCTGTGGCTCACCCTCCTCCCACATCACAATATCCATGCGCCTCTGTTTTCTCTCTGCTCTTCCTCTCACTTCCTTATCTGTGGTCCAGACTTCCTCCCCTCCCTCCATCAGTCCCCCTTTTTATTTTCTCACAGACCATCCTCTGTTTTGGTCCCAGTAGTTTTCCACCGGAGGTGGACATGGCACCCCTCAGCCTTGGCTCTGCTAACATTAGAGAGGCCATGCTTTTGCCTAGCGTTATCGTAGTATGTCAGGGTAGGCATGCGTGTGTTCGTATGTGTACACTGCTCATTCATAGCATTTCAGGCATACTTTGGCTTTGCTGTCCACACATAGCCCACCATCGCCCTCTAAAGGACTCACTGGCACCAGATTTCTGTCGGATGGACTTAAGCTACGGTATTTAGAGGATGTTTTGCAGCAGTTGATTCATATCTTTTTTCAAATAAGACATGTTGAATAATAAATGTAAATTCTTAAAAGTAACTGAACTTTCCCCCTCTCTCTCAGCGAGACAAGACAGACACAGGCAAGCAGATTAACCACTCTGTGACCCCAAAACATATTAAACCAAGCATGATGCAATTTGGCCTTCTTCTATTCATTGCATACAGAAAAGGAGGCTACAAAAAGGGAGTCCGGGTGAAAAGATGTTTGGGGCAGAGAGGAGGAGTAGGAGCAGAGGCCGGGGTGCAGGGTGAGACGAGGGTGAACTGGAGAAAGGGATTTGTGTTGAGAAATTAGCCTGCATGAAGAGCGGTGGTATATTATGTCGGCGTTAAGAGACAGGAGAGGGAGAGGGGGATGGGGGGATTTTGGTAGAATAAAGGAAAGGCAGACGGAGGGAGGAGAGAGTGGACAGTGATGGATGAAGCGAGTGAAGTTTGGAATTGAATAAGTGAGAAATGGCAAAGTTGACCATTTTAAAAGCTCATCTTGCAGGGGCTAAAAGGATTCTCAGTGTCTTAACTATAGGATGTGTGCATATATAAGCACACCGATTTGCATGTCGTAGAAACTATATAGTTGAGTGCTGGATTTACAATCCAAGTAGAGACAGCCGGTTGTATTGGTGCCTATTGGAGGAAGAATTCCCACTTGGGTTTCTTATTGTAAGACCGTGAGATTGAGGAAGAATGAAGGTAGATTACATTCGAAGCTAATAAAGAGAGACTTTTCGGTATACATTAGATTGACTGTAATGGCGTATCCCACTAGTGAGCAGCTAAACCCATTAGAACCACTGACAGCTCCTCGGCCCGTGTGAAAAGAGGTGTGAATCTGCCATACCACAGCAAATTAATAGGGTATTAAGCGTACACGTCAAAGTAAGTGTGTGAGAGTGTGACTGGAAATTTGATGAGTGTGCCTTGTGAGAACAAAGTAACCATCCAAACCACAGACCCCCCCCCCCCCCTCCCCCCCGCTGTGACATTCCAGTGTATGCACACTGACTACCGACTACCTGCAGAGCAAATGGTTTGGGGGGTGCATCTGTTTAGTGTTTCAGTGGTGCTGACTCGCTCTGTGCTTGCGAAACAAATATCTTAAGTGCCGACTCGGATGCTAGCGAGTGTGAGAAGTTGCGACCCTGAACTCTAACCCTTCGACCCGGCTGCCAGTTTGAAACACCCCCCAGAGGTACAGTGAAAGACAGAGTTCCTTTGTCAGTTGTTTGACCGATATACCAGTGAGAGCTCGGGGGACAAATTGCGGGACAGCAGAGAGACGAGACAAATGAAAGAGAAATGGAAGAGGTGCAGTGCAAGAACAATGGAAGACTTCAAAGCTTAAATGAGGAGGCCAAGTGTTGAAGAACTCACCTAACTATTTTATACCCTTGTAACACACACACACACACACACACACACACACACAACTTGCCCGCTGACGCAAAAGCAAGAGTAGCTCCTTAGTGAGAGATGACCTGTTTGCAGCAGAGGGGAAGAAATATTACAACCACCTTTAACCCTTGCTGTTTACCCACACCTCAGTCACATGCAAGAAAACACTCACGCACGCACGCACGCACGCACGCACGCACGCACGCACGCACGCACGAGAGGCGTAAGTAGGCCTTGATAAACAGATGTGCTCTTGAGCCTGGGGCATGAGATGCCCTGAATAAGGGTCTTCAGAGAATCCCTCTCCCATGAAAATACACACACACACTCAGCCGAACCAACACACAGGAAGAAGTAGGTTTGCAACAACTCCCACACCTGGCTCTCGCTCTCACATACGACATAGCTATCACGTTAATGCGACTCTCACTCTCCTGGGAACTGTCAGTCAGAGGCGAGAGTAGTTGCGGGGAGATACAAAAGTCTCCAGAGTGGAGAGCTTTGATGAGTGAAATGTAAAGGATAGGGAGGATGGAGGGAAAGACAGTCCTTTGACTAATGGTTGCATAAAGATAACACAATCCACAGCAACAAAAAAAGACCCATTCAATTCTGGACAACCCAAATGCGGACCACGAAAATACACTGACAGTCATATGACAGTCTCACACACACACACACACACACACACACCCCAGTCATGGTAGTGAAAGCTCCACATGGGGTAAGGTACAGGGGTTGAAGGGGCCCTCTCCCCTTCAGGCATTCTGTTTTGGGGAGGGAAAGTGTATAATTACACCCTATTCATTCCTCCTCCCCTCCTTTTCTTGAGAACACGCTGGCCTCAGACCTCTAACGGCTTTTAATTAGCCAGGGCAATGGAAGAGAGGATGAGGAGAAGGGAAATGAAGAGGTGAAGAGAAGGATAAAGGAAGAGTTTTCTTTTAAAGCATGAGTTGTGAATTAAATTAGCAACAGAATATATGTTTTTGTTGGCTTTTGACAAGCCTGTGTTCTCACGTTGAGGTCGGCCAGACCACTAATAAGGACGCAGTGTGGGGGGAAAAAGGTATACCCTATACTTTTCTGCAGAGGGAGCAGCTGGAAATCTCCAAGTGCCTTGTTTTCTCAAAGTATTACTGGTCTGACTCAAAGAAAACCGAGGAACGAGATGAGAGGAGAGATTATTTGGCCAATTAGGCTGCTAGAGGCTGTCTCTTTTCCTTTCACTGGAGCACACACATATTCACACAAACAAAGGCGTGCACACCTACACACGAGTGTACACATGCGTACAAAGAACCTTTTCTGAGAGAGAGCGGTGATTGCAAGTGCAGGGTTGTGATCAGCCTGTTAGCCCTGGATAACAAGTGTAGAGCTGTGCTCGGCTAACAAAGCATGTTTTGACAGGTAGGTTAGCGCTAACGGGGACACACACACACACACACACACACACACACACTTGCATACAGAGGCAGGAAGGAGGGGTTAGAGGCCCACCTTTGGAGCCAGTGTGTCTGTGACTTGGCCAGGGGGTCCTAACAGGAGCCACAACAACAGGACGGGGGGCCGGGGCCAACACATCCAATGCTTTGATGCAGCGACAAACACACTTGCATGCATTAACAATAGCAGATAAATAGGCTGTTTTTCAATTGTTGTCACTTTCACTCTCAGCAACACGCTTAACACAAGCAGTCATTCAGTTTAAACACAGACTAGATGTGAGGATCAGAGCCTGTTGCCCTCGAGGATGTAATCAGAGTAATATGCAAGTATCAATCTTTCTTCACCTCCTGTCTTTTGGCTGATCTCACAGCAGTAGCAACATGCCACAGAGCTGCACAGCACATATTACTTTAAAGGAAAGACATTAGTTATGTGTAAGTTAAGATGCCAGGTGAGAGTTTTTCCTCTTTGCCCCAAGAAGTCAGTGCTTCATGAAGTCGCAGCTACTTTACTCCACGAAAACCGCCTTTGTATTCTGACTGAACACTATCGCAACAAATTTCACCATCCCTCTATGCTTCATTAGGACACCAAACAAGCCTAGGAAGTGAGCAAAGCGGAGACGGGAAGGCTCAAAAAGAGCCGTAAAACTAAATGAAGGGTATAGATGAAAAGGGAGACAGAGGGCGACAGTCTGACTGTCTCCACCCACTCTGTCTTTGATGAAATCAGCGAGACATTGAGTGACAGAGCTTCTGCTAGAGATGGCAAATTAGTGTGAGGAGCCACAACAGGAGCCTCAACACTGATGGACAAGCTTCCAGGTGAAGAAACTAGTGAGACAGAAACAGAGAGAAGGAGAAAAGGGACATTGGGAGGTCTCGTGTTGTTGTTGTTGTTGTTGTACGCAGGTATGAAGTGAACATGTGCTGCAGGCAAAACGAGGGAAGAAAGCAGGAAGGTGCGTGAGAGGGATGGTGGTAGGGCTTATGAGAGGTGGTGTAAACAAAATGGAGCAAGTCCAACCTGATCAGGCTGTTTCTAATTCTGTCGCGGTGATGGGTTGTCACAAGTACACGTCAACGCAAACACTCTCACGTGGTGCCTGACCTCCGCCCTAATGACTGTACCTGTGTGTTATTCGCGTGAGTAAGCCTGATTGCTGTTGCTGCGCGTCTGTGCGTGTGTGATTAGCCCTCATTGTTATTCATAATGTGTGTGTTGTATGAGCCAAGCTGCAAAGGGTGTGTGTTTGAAAACGTGTACAAACCGGCAAAATAAAAAAATATCCATGCCAGATGAAGACATTTGTCAGTAACCACCTCCTGTCTCCCTGCAGCTTCCTGTGGGATGAGTACGCAGTGGAAGTGCGTATCAACGACTATCTGGACATCATCTGTCCCCACTACACCCACGGCGAGGTGTCATCGCATGCAGCTGAGCGCTATGTGCTGTACATGGTGGAGAAGGAGGACTACGAGGTGTGCAAGCCTCACTCCTTCGACCAGCTCCGTTGGGAGTGCTCGCGGCCGTTTGCTCCCCACGCTCCCGAGAAATTCTCTGAGAAATTCCAGCGTTTTACTCCCTTCACCCTGGGCAAGGAGTTCAGACAGGGAGAGAGCTATTATTACATCTGTAAGTATGAAAGATAACATTTTCTTTTTCAACTTATTGTGCTCCTGAGAAGGTGTCTTGTATTAAAACTCTTTCTGATTTTCCACAGCCAAGCCAATGCATCACCATGGCCAGGATTGTCTAAGGCTAAAAGTGGATGTTGTCAGCTCTGGGAAAAACAATGTAGATAAATCCAAGGCGGAAGATACAGTAAAAACCTTGGATGAAGGAAAAGTGAAGTTTTCTGGAGGAGTTCACAACCCCTCTAACCGGCTCCCAGCAGGTGAGGATTCTTCTCAAAACAAAAAAACAGACGGATGCAAAATAGTCACAGCAGTCCCATGTCTGAGGAGCTCAGCTGGGTGTGGTTACTAAAATTGCCCGAATGATGAAACTCAACACTGACTCTCCCTCCCTTTTTCGTTCCTCAGATGACCCTGCTGTGATGGAGCCAAACGTTCAGAAGAGCATCGGCAGTTCAGGAGCACAGCTGCTCCCCTTTTCACTTTTCCTGACCATGAGCTCATTACTATTAGCCCTGATGCTACACTAAGGCTGAGCAAGACCTTACAACAGAGACAATGCTAACTCAATGCCGGTCATTGGGACCATGAATGAACACTCAGAGATTTTTTAATTTTTATTTTATTATTTGTTTGTTTTTTTTATACAGATTTTTTTTATACATGGACAGTGCTGTCAGTGTGCGTTTGCGTGTGTGAGAATGTGGAACGTGGATCGTTCCAAAGAAGAGGACCTTTTTTTTTTTTTTATTATGAGGATGAGAGTTCTCATTTGTGACCCTTTAAAGTGCACTCTTCTTTCATTACGAACAAAACAAAGAAAACTGATCAAAATACTAATGGATTGATATCAAATTGAAAATGACAAGGAGTATATTTCCTTCTTCGTCCTATGTTTTCACCATAGGTACAGATTTACATTACGCTCCTCATCTCTAGCTGTTAATGTAATTTTTCTTCCTCTACATGTAGAGAAATTATTAATTCTGTGTGTACTGGAAATGTTGTTGTCTACTGCCAAAGTGGATTTTTGTCATGTTGTTTTGTAGCACTCGGCTCCCTGATGTATCGCCTCAAGTCTGTTATATCTCTAAGTCTGACTCTCTTTAAGTTTCAGACACTACTGAAAGCATCTGACATCACACATTTCCTTCTGTTCAGTTATAAAACACGACGAAAAAACATTTCGTCTAATCCAGACCGGTGGTTCTCAAACTTTTTGTCTAATGAGCCACATTATGATTTTTTTTTTTTTTTACATTTTATACTGTATTTGATTAACAAAATTAGAGGAAATTGACCCGAATTTATTTGGACCCTAGAAAATTTAATTTGACTTTTGTGCCACAAGTTCCCATAGACTTCCATGTTCTCAAGAGGGTTTGTGACCGGAGGTTGAGATCCACTCATCAGAGACGGATACATTAAGATTGTATAACTAGCAGGGGTTTTAGGGAGCTGAGCCTCTTCAGTACTTCTGGTTATTCACTCATTTCTACTGCACATGGTACACTGTCTGATGTGCAGGTGTGATTCCACTTGCACATTGTCAAACCTCAAACTGAAGGGACTTCCCGGAATACATTTACAGTTGTTTATTCTCTTGTTAAAAATGCTTGTTTTCATTTTTTAAATGTTTGTGTGTAAATGTGTATATAGAGAAAACTATAAGAAACTGTTTAAAGATGTGAAATAAAAGAAAATTGTGATGTAATGAAAGTTTCTCTCTTTAGTGAAATTTGTTTTGGGTCTTGAAATCCCACTGACATCATTGACATCTTGATGAATGACACAATATTTTGGCATAAGCGATGAAATCCACCCCCAGGTCTTTCCCAACCTCGATTCTCATCCCCTCTTCTCTGCCCTCTCCCGTCTTTCATCCCTGGTTACACAGCTTAGCCTGGCTTAGATTTCACAGTCTGAAAACCAAACACGAGAACCGAGAGAGGGGCGATGAAGGAGTGAGAGAACGGGATAGTGCAGAGAGAGAGAGAGAGGCCCACAAGCAAACTGACAACTGGGTGTGAAGGTGTCACTCTCGCCTCCTCACCCTTTTGCCCTTTTCTTCCCTGTACATACTCTTTCTACACAGTGGTATGTTGGGATGAAGAGGAGCACAGTGCACACACTTTCATACCTGCAAACCTCAGAGCTGACTGAAAACTGTCAAAAGTCACCACCCCCTGTAAAACCACGCAGCATATACGTTCTAAACGTTTGTTTTTCCATAATCACTTCATAGTTTGAATTTACCACGGATGATCACACAGCCTCAGAAATCTAGCTCCCGTGTGTCTGTGTAGTTCTGTGCAGGAGGTTAATGCAGGACTGTGACTGTGTCTGATGAAACAGAACAAACATGGTGGTATTCACGCAAATGTGTTTTATGTCATACAGCAATGTGCAACGATCCTGAAAGGCAGTCCGATTGCAACTGTAAGATTTACAAATGACCTTAAAAACCTACAATTACGGGTTTATGAGGAAGCATATAAAGCCTTTAGCTGGGTCAATGTAATAAAAAAAATGCAAATATCTTAACTATCCACAATAAAAGGACCCATTGAGAAATATGGTACCCATCAGAGATTAAAGTTACTGATGCATATGGTACATGTACCTCCATAGCATCACAAATGAAAACACAAAATTCCTATAATTGCAGCCATAGTATAGTTTCAAATGTCTGGAAATAGATGATTCACTTATTGCATTACATTTAGAATATGTTTGAAAGGACAAAGCGTCTAAAGATCAAGGTTAGATAACCTTTTGTATAACGGACCTTTGTGCATTTAAAGGACTTCAAGGAGCTTTAGGAATATTGCAATTTAATTACAGAAACCAGAGACAAAAGAGCATCTGTGGAGAAATCACATTAAAAATAAGGACATAAGAGATTAAGCGAAGAAAAAATAAATGAAATGTCAAACAAATGCAAAAACAGCTCAAACTAAAAGAAAACGATGAAGACAATTATACATCAAAGACTGCTGATAAAGGTCTGAGAGATTTTTAAAAAGTGAAAAAGGGTCTGTGTTTAGAGCTCCACAGCAATAAGGCTGAAAGATGCATCTACCCTGCAGCTCTGATGCTTCCAGCTGGACACAGGAGAGAGGAGCAGCAGATCAGAGGGTCCATGATGAAGAGAGGTATAAGCACTTTTTTAGGAGATTAACATGAAATTCACCTGAACTTCGTTAAATAGGAAGGCGGCGGTAATTTATGGTTCTAATTCACAAGTTGAAATAAAAATCCTCATCTCTAATGCTGGATGTAATATCCATGAAATAACACTCTGCAGCCCAGATGGTCCACTGACTAGTTGACAAACGATACATGGAATGAAATAAATCAAGTTACACTGGTGCACCCCAATGGAGTGTGTTTTTAATTGTCATTTTAAACAGTAAAATCATTTTATTGAGAATTTTGAACACCCACATTATATGCCAGCAGCACTAACTGACCGTTGAAATAAGGAAGATTCTCCTCCAGCAATTCAACCAATTGAAGGGTGAAGTGTTTTTTTCTCACATTGTTTCATTTGAATTATTTTTAGGGGCCTGAAGATACAAACATATCCAGTAATTCACAAGAAAAAGGGAACGACTGGAAAAAGTCTGATATACATTTATTCTGGTTTCCTATTCTGTTAAATGGGTACTCCGGCAATTTAGTACTGCACTTCCATAAGGTTGGGAATCTCACAAAAGACAGATTAAAACAATCAATAAAAAGGAATTAAATCAAATAAGGTAACTCAAAAGCATCTGTTGCTTCATTTCTTTCAAATTCTACACCTTTGCAACACAGGCTTTGTTATAAAGCAATGGAAGTAATGCATACACACATTACAAATTAACATATTCATAGGCTAACACAGTACAAACTGAAATCGTATTCTTTTGAGAAGCTCAAATATGCAAATATCCGACTGCGTATCAGTCATTCCATCTTGTGACATCAGGGATGAATAAAGTGTAACTGGTTTTAACTCCCATTGCATAAGATGTCCCTTCACAGTGCCCCTCTGGCAGACCTCCATCCATCTCACTGAGGTTCAAATCCATCCCTTGCCATCCATCAGCCAGCACACCGGGCCCTCCAGATTCTTTCAATGTGATGACGTGACACGCGACGTCCGCCATCGTTTCGGCATTCTATTGGAGCAAAATCCACCCCACCTGCTTCCTCGCACAGCCAATCAGAGCGCAGGAATGCTGTGCACACTGATCGCAAACACGGAAACACAGTGAAGTGAGTAGCGGGGAGGACCGTCGTATTCGGTCTTTCATCGTATGCAATTCAAGCATCCGTGTTGAAAAGCAAACATTGCGCGTAAAATACACAACCGGGTCGCGTATTAGACTTTTCAATGGATTCAATGCAACTTCTGTCATGGGCGTGCATCGTGTTCACAGTCGGGATGTTCTCGACTGGACTGTAAGTTGAATTTTCTCATAATTTAATGTCATGCTGTATTGCAATGTTTCACTGTCATTTCATCCTCTTAAGTGTATTGGTTGGTAAGAAACACGAGGTGAGTCACATATTGTTGTTTGTGAAGGAGGCTGCGTTGACTTTGTTTCTCTCTCATTTGTTTACCTTGTTTGTTTACCTTGTGTGTGTGTGTGTGTGTGTGTGTGTGTGTGTGTGTGTGTGTGTGTGTGCGCGCGTGCGTGCGTGCACGCGCTTCTAGGACCGACCTGAAGAAGATGAGAGAATCCAAAAGTGCTGAGGATATCCAGTTTCTTCCTTTCCTCACCACGTGTCTTAAGTGAGTTTGTGTGTGTGTGTGTGTGTGTGTGTGTGTGTACAATTATTCACAAGGATCAGTTTAGTAGCATTGTTGTCCTCGTCCTCGTCCTCCTCCTCCTTCTTCTTCTGTGGTGTTTATTAGCAGTTGGAAAAACCAGCTCAGAGGTCATTGTTGTCCTGCTCCGCTCAGCAGTTCTGATGCTCATCCCGTTTCCACAGTAACCTGGGCTGGCTGTATTATGGGATTCTGAAGACGGATCAGACGATTGTCCTGGTCAACGTCATCGGAGCTCTACTCCAGATCCTCTACATCATCGTGTACCTCTACTACACTAACCAAAAGGTGAGTGAGGGAGTGAAGACTGGGGCCACTCAGCTGTGCACGCTTGTCTCTCCTTACCTCTCTCTCTCTCTCTGTGTGTGTGTGTGTGTGTGTGTGTGTGTGTGTGTGTGTGTTTCAGAGGCTGGTGATGTCACAGACCGTAGCGGCAGGGACGGTGCTGACCTGCGGCTGGTTCTACTTCACCAAGTTTCTTCCTGAGGGAGACAGTCGGCTCAGCCAGCTCGGCCTCACCTGCAGCGTGATCACCGTCAGCATGTACCTGTCCCCGCTCACCGACCTGGTGCGTGCTCGCATGCATTACGGACACACGCTACATACAGACAGCACGTACAAAGTCAAATGAAAGATGTAAGAAAAAAATATCCTCTATCTAGCAATAGCTGGGAATCAGTGGTGGAAAGTAAAACATATATGCAAAATACAAATGATCTTACATCTCTTGCACAGAAGCAAACTCTTCATTCAAACTGTAAAGTCTTTTAGAAATTAGATTTTTGAACCACAACTTCACACAAAAATCTTTCCACATGCCAACTGCACACTGGTGTGCTAAGTATAAAACATTCATTTTCATTTGTAGCATGCTGTAAATCTGGACTATGAACACAAATCCAATGAGGAAACAAACATTTACTGAAGTACTGTATTCTCAGGTACTTATACTTTATATTTTTCTCTTTTTTGCTACTTTATACTTCTCCTTCACTACACTTCATAGGCAAGCCTTTTTATTCTGTTACGTGTATTTGAGAACTTTAGTTACTAGTTCGTATGAAGATTAATATTACAGAATATTATCAACAAATACATGATGAACGTAAAGATAAGGGGAAAACTATCTTGGTCCCCAGGGGGAAATTCACAAGATGCCTGCAATTAAAACCGGTAAATAAAATCAGCCCCACCTTTACCAGCTGCAACGTTATCTACACATTAATACATATTAATTGTAATCCAGTAACATAATACACATAAGTCTGAAATGGGCCATTGGTTCTTGATGCTAATATTTTTCTACTTTTACTGAAGTAAAATATCTTAAGTACTTCTTCCACCAATGCTGCTAAATGCACATTAGTGTAGTAACGTACAGAAGTGATGAAAATAGTGAAAAGCCTGGATGACTTGTCAATGGACAAGTCTTTAAAGCTTTTAAAAAGCTAAAATGCAGACCAATCTCTAATTTCAGCCTTTCGAATATGAAGATTTTATGCTTTTCTGTGTTTCATGTCACAGTTAATATCCCAGTTAATTGCTTGTTCTGTGGGACAAAACTATCAAGTCTAATTAATAAGTCAATCGTACGTCAACGTATTAGTTGCAGCGCTGATATACATCAAACTGATGTTCATGCCATGATAATGAACCAAGATAGTCTTTGATTTTATCGTAAATGATCCCTATTTAGTGCCGTATCTAATTTTACAAGATATTAAATTCATTTAGATATCTTACATTCGTATCACCCCATAATGCTGTTGAAAGAGGATAAGCAGTACGGTTAGAGTTATTGCTCAGCTCAGTGTGTGAGTCATGCTAACTAGTCATGGCGGCTTTTCCGCCCATTAAAACCCAGAAAAACAAAAAACAGTCAAATGACATTTTCAGGATCACTGAAGATAAAATGGTGAAATATGTGGCACAGGGCTGTACAATGAATCGTTAAACGTTTACTTTTAATGACGTGTTAATGCAATTTCACCTGTGAAAAGTACACATCCTCATAGAAAAGAAATGCCCAACTTGCAAATGTTGCAAAAGTTTTTATGCAGACTGAATATTTCTCAGCACTAAATGTGTTGTGAAAGCTGTTCTCTACATGTATCAAAGTTCATATCAACTTTACAGTATTAACTTCAGCACACTAAGCTGTACACCGCACATTCAGTCTTCTGTTCGGACCATATGCTGAACGTCTGCAAAGACAGCAGGCAGCATCTGTTCGGGTCAGTCAACTCTGCACGTGCAGCTATTTACCAGTGAAGGAATAAATCCACAGTTCTCTCTCTTTGTGTCTCTTTGTGTCATCTTGCCACTCCGTCTACCATCCTGTTTGTCTTCTTCCCTCCATCTGCCTCACAGCCCTGAATGACCCTCAGTCAGCTTCCTGCCTTTCTTTCTCCTCATCTGTGTCTTCCTGTTATTCTCCGCCTCTTGTCGTGTTTGTGCCTCATCCCCTTGGTTACATTCTTGTTTTCTCCTCACATTTTACAGAAATGTCATGTTGGCACTTATTATTCAAAGATGCAAGACTCATTTAAGCATGGGGATTACGGCACACATTTTCAGATACTGTCCTCTCCTGGAAGGCATTCAGAGCGGTGCACCCTGTAGTGCACACGAAACGTGGCAGAAAAAGAAGAAAAATGCCATACTTTGTCTCACCCCACCCCCACCCAATTCCAACATTGGAAGTGTTTTGGGGGAAACAGGATTTCCGACTATGTTTGACCGTCTGACAAGCACTTCTTTTGAAGTATACTGACACCTTAAAGCAGCATTCATTGTTGCTTTTTTGTGGAGCCACTCGGGGGCGGCGAAAACAAGTTGTAAACACAACATTGACATATTATCACTTTCACAAGTTTGTGAAGACAGAGCAACACTATCATTCCTGTGGAGTCGTGTATGTGGCCACCTGACATATGTAAGTCTGATATTCACTCTCTTTTTTTAGCTCCGTTTTGGTCCTCTCCAACTCCTGAGGGAAATATCTCTGTCTTTAACTGCTAACCTTTTCCACTGTGCTGTTTGGTTGCCCAGCAGATAGTGTACAGTTGGTTTATCAGTTAGAAGGGTTTTTTGGTTTAGTTTTTTGTTGAAAACGGCAGCTTGCGGCTGCTGGAATCGAGGTTGATGAGAGCAATGAGAGTGAACCAAAACAATAAAGTTGCAGGCTTAAGATGCTAAAACTCTCCGTGGGGCTGTGGAGAGCCGCAAAGTCTGCGATAATGCCGTTAGTTCGTCAATGCAAGTGACACCTTTCACATTACACAGTAATTTCATCCATCGTAAACATAAAAACTTTAGAGTTTTTTGCAACTGCTGAAACACAAATTCTGAAACTTGTGAAGACTCTACTTAAACTAGTTATAGTTTTGCATCACAACTTCAAACACCAAATAAATAGCTCTTTCCACATGCCAACTATAAAACACTATCTTTCTGGAGTTTTTGGCATTTTCATTCGTAGCATGCTGTAAATATAGAGTATGGGCAAAAATGGAATGTGGAAACAAACAAATGTGTTATTCTCAATGCTCATATACTCAAACCCAATTACTTCCTCTACGTCTCTCTCCAAAATCTGCCTCCATTGCTGTGCACACCAAAGAGCAAACCTGAATCCCATTTGTTGTGTTCAAGCTCTGATTTCTAATTGATCTAATTGCTTGCAGGTATTTTCACAGGTGCAGGTGATTGATATTTGAGTGTGGTATTACAATGGCAATTTTTAAACACACACAAGTGTTTACATTATTATATATTTCTTATTTTTCCTCGTCTTTCTCTCCTCCCTTTTAGGTACAGATAGTGCGTACTGGTGATGTGAAGTGCTTGTCCTTCCCTCTGACTGTAGCCACCTTCTTCACTTCAACCTCCTGGGTCCTGTACGGCCTCCAGCTGAACGACTACTATATTGTGGTACGATACAGTGAATATGCACCTGAATCCCCGCTGTAAACACAGCTTTCAACATTTGTTTATTATTTTAAATGACAGCCAGCCAGTATCCTCAATTCCTCTTCCTATTTGTGTTCATTCCAGGTTCCAAACTCGCCCGGCATCTTCACCAGCCTCCTCAGGCTTTATCTGTTTTGGAGATTTGCGTCTGTCACTCAGAGGTCACCGGCCTATAAGCCTATGCAGATATGAGAGGGGGGGTTATGAAAACAAAGAGATGACAGATCTGTTGACTTCATGGAGGGCTGCAGCAAAGCTTTCCCATCACTTGTATTTTTAATCACACAGAGAGACAGTGGAGAGGACGAACTGTCTTTGGACGACACTGCAGATGAAGTGGAGATGATGTCTTGTGTTTGTTGTGACTTTGGGGAAGTATATCTGTTACTCAGTTCAGTGAAAAAAGTTTGAAATCTTTGACATTTCTTAAACCTGTTTTTCCTCTCCATGTCCGTGAAGTGCCTTCTATTAGATCCTGTTTGCCATTGAAGACGTTTGGTATTTACTGATCTAGCAACATGTCAGGAGACTTGCAGTCTGTTCACAGTTCAGTGAATTGGATTGTATCTTCCTCAACTCATACTAGCCAAAGGTTTTGTGGAGTTGTAACTTGCTGGCTGCTATTTTAATACACATGTAGTGCTCTCTTCCCTGGTACCCATGTGTGGAATAATGTAGTCTATAGTTTCATGTTTTCCCTGGTAATGTGGTGATAGTTTCATATCCGTTAACAGTTACTACTTAAGCTTCTGTATCAGCGTGCAGACAGAATAGTGAGTGGCAGTAAGTAATATTTGTTTTCTATATATTTTAGGTCCGGGGTCTTTTTAATACATAATGTTTATGTTGTTTAAGATCAGATATTATGTTCTTATATTGTTGGGCTGAGGCTTTTTTTACACCCTTGGGTTTGTTTACAAGAATGAATGATGGCTGGTTGTCATGGGTAATTGAGTCTTGCTTGTCTCCTCCTTATTATCTGTAATAAGGACATATGTTATGCAAATGAAACAGCCGAGTGTCGGTGCTGATTCTCACACTTCTAAAGGATGTAAATAAATTCTTACCATAACCATCAATGACTTGTATTTGCTGATTGCTTGTTAAGTTGTGAACATGGTGGACATGAAAGACTTTTTTTTTTTTTGTACAGCAAAGTGAGTAAACTGCACTTGACCCTTTGAAGAAGGAAGATTTGTGTTGGAGGTTTTGTTATGGACGTAGTAATGAGCTGACATGCAGATATGTGTGTGTGTGTGTGTGTGTGTGTGTGCGTGTGCGCGCGCGCGCATGCACAAGAAGAGACAAAAGCCTGTTTGATGGTGCAGCAGTGCAAATTAGCTTGTTTGTGTGACTGTGTTGATACAGAGAGGGCAGTGGTGGGAAAGGCCATGCCAGAGGTTCTCATCCCGTGTGTGTGTGCGTGTGCGTGTGTGTGTGTGTGTGTGTGTGTGTGTGTGTGTTACATTGGCCTCTCTTCCTGAGCTCAAAGAGACCACAGACACAACACAGGATTGAGCTGGACTTGAGTGTTGTGTAGGAAAAAACTAAGCTCAGAGGACTAGAGGTGGGAGATGAATGAGCTGCAGTTGAAAGAGGGAACAAGAAAGTAAAGGAGATGAAAAAGCAGACGAGATGTATGAGACGGAGGTAGGAAACAGTAAAACCTAGGAAACCAAAAGAATTCAAAGGAGAAATTTAGGTTTGGCTCATATAGTTCTATTGTAGCATGACAACACTTTATAAAACAACAAAGTGAATGCAATCCATCCTGAAGGAAACATGAATTTAAAGAAAGAGCCTACTTCACCCCAAAAATTTACATATTTATTTAATGCTTATAGATGATTTTTCTGATTCATCAAGATTTTACTTGTTTTTCTATTATTTGTTCACTGGAGGAATGCAAGAAAAAATAAGTTTCTTTAAGAATTCAAGGTAATACAGGGAGAGTAAATTATGAACAAATGATCCTCGTGGGTGAAGTATTTTTTTAACCAAATCTTATGCCAATTCATAAAACAGGCATTTCCCTCCAAACCTCAGACGTGAACCTCATGGTGGCACTAGAGGAGAAGTCAGAGGATCACCAGTCAGTACATCCTCTGAGGACCATGAATGTCTGCACAAATTAGTTTGCCAATCCAACCAGTAGAGATATGTTGACATATTTCACCAGATACGGGAAAATGTATCCAGTCTGAGGGTCATGAATGTGTACAAAATGTCATTGCAATCGATCCGATAGTTGTGATATTTTAGTCTGGATCTTCGTGGGTAACTACTGACGGGTCGATGTTGCTATCCCGAACCATCGATAGCGTGGCTAAAACGTTGAGCAGGAGAAAGCAGACTGGAAGTGTGTATACAAACAAAAATTGGGACATGAAGAAGGTAATGCCATGGATTTGCGTTGGTCTGTAATTAAGTTATAACTTGACGAAAGTCCACTTTAATACAAAATATTACTAAAAAAAAATAGGGACAGGATAGTGCAGACAGGTGACTCATCAGGTCTGCTACACAACCCAGATACAAAGATAAAGTGAGTCATTTCTGAGGAAAGGGCAGTTATGTGGTAAGATGAGAAAAATGAGTAATTCATGCGTCTAGGAGAAGAGAAGGGAGTTTTAGATGTTGTCCATTCTTCTAGTGAAAAGAGACAGACATCAATGAGGCTGGAGGGACAATGCATGGAGTCAGATAGACTGGCTGGACACACCCCTCGTTCCAAACTATGGTTTTATTGTGAAGAGACAGCGTGTTAAGTGTTACTCTGGAAATCAAAACACGGTCTTCATGCTGATGTGTAGGCTATACGTCTTTGTTCGACAGCCAAATACTGACATGGGGCCTATGTTGTTTACATGAGTGTGTGTGGAGTAGGGGGTGATGAGGGGGTTAATCAGCTGAACAATGAGTACAACTCACAAACAGGATCCCTCTGTTTCCTGAAGTAGAGACGGTCTCCTTAAACAGCACACACACACGCTGAGTATCTTTAAGACATACACACATTGTACGTACACTTTGTTGTCTCTTCCACAGTCTCTCCCCAACAAACACTATGTGTGCATTCAGATGTCTATTTTTATCATTATGGGCAAAGTCTGATCTATGGGATTTGTTTCCCCTGTAATTACACCCAACAAAGTCTCTGCTAACATGCAGTCTGCAGCCAGACAGTGTGCATACTCAGCATATAAACACACAGCATACACACAGCTCACTGGGGGGCCAGTATCCAGCCTGGGCACTTTCTACCATCAGTAAAAGCACACCTGTCCCAGCTGCTGTTTTGAAGAGAGCAAGAGGGAGAGAAGGAATGTGCTTCTCTCAGTTTTCCTGTCAGCCCCTCGACCTTCCCACCCGTCTCCGTTGTCGTTGTCCCTTTACTGGTTTATTATTCCCATGGTCAGCTCTTCTCACGCACTGTCATAGCATTTCTTTGTCTCTCCTCGTCGTGTTTCTCCTCACCTTTCCCCAAGTCAAATCTCTAACCCGTATCTTCTTACACCCTCTCTTTCTCAATTTATCAGTCTCCTCCTTCACCTTTCACTCCTCTAAAATGACTTGGTGGTCCCGCAGTCCTGCTCCTACACTTATGTCACACAGCTGACTGACATGTTTTGTGCCCTCAGATCATCTGCAGTGATAATCAGGTCTGTCTCTTCAAAATGTCAGCCAGTCTAAGATTTATATAGATTTTACAAGAGGAGCAACACACGCCTTCTCCCCTGAGAAAAAATCACTTCAAGCTCTCTTGATATGCAGCAAATTTCACTGACGGACTACACATGAAATTCCCCAGTCAACATTGATACTGAAGCTTTCTCTCATAGCTTTGTATTGGTGTACATGTATATGCGTGCACTCCGTTGTTTGTAAATGCAGTTGCTGTGGTAGGTATTTATGGGGAACCGTGTGCAGGGGGTTAGCAAGTGGCTTTCTATTCTCAGTTTTACCAGCTCCTCCACTTTTGTTTGGGTTTTATAATCAGCATTTTCTTCTCCTCAGAGCCTGGTGGTTGCACAGCTGAAAGGATGCATGCCACATAGGTAACACACAAAGACCACCTTCCTTTTTCTCATACACACACAATCACACATGCAAAAGAAATGTGGGCTTTCAGCTCTTTAACTGTTACCAGTTGGTGCTGAAAGACCTTTGCTCTGTACGGAAATAGATTTACAGGCAGCCCTCCGTTGTGTCCTCAGGGTTATATTGTGTGGTTCAGTATATCCTGTCGCTGTCTCCCATCCTTCTCCTTCCTGTTCTTCCTCCTCCCTCTGCTTCTGCCGCCCTTTACAGTGGGAACATTGAGCAAAGTGATATGTGGACAGCTAGTCATTAATCTGTCAGAGGACAGCCTATGGACAAAAACACTGTCAGCGCGGATCAACATACACATTTCACCTTCTATATAAATCATATGTCAGGTATCCTCCGATCAGAGACTCAATAACTGAGCTTGACACCACTGGACCCAATGGCAGAATTGCGTGTGTCAAGCTCAACGTTTAATTTAGCTGGCTTTAAAAGTTAAATAAATACATTTGAATTAAACAAACTTCTTATTCTTTTTGGTTATGTTCTATAAATCCTTTCTAATACTCACATAGCATGTGCAGCCACAAACCAGGTTAAAGTTTTAAATCAAGCCAAACAGGTGGTTCAGGAGAGTTAATGTCTTTCCAGTCTAAAAATGACACACAATCACATATAAATACTCACAGAGCTTCAGGGGCTTTGGTCCTGTCTGAGCATGCTTTTTCACTTTGGCATCCATTTAGAACACACACACACACACACACACACACATGCAGCAGATTGGTGTGTGTGTGTGTGTGTGTACATGTGTAAATGTGGATTGTACGTGTTTTTGAGTGGCAACCATGTGAAGTGGATTTGGATTCAATTCCATGTGTTTGTTTGTGTGTGTGTGTGTGTGTGTGTGTGTGTGTGTGTGTCTTTCATTGCAGTGTCAAACAAAAATGTTTTTTGTGATGTACGGGAACCTCTTCGAGCGGTGGAAAACCATTTAGTTTGACAGTTTACAGACAGAAAACGTGCAGACCATAGTTGGGACTTGTAAAGTTACTCGGGGGGCCTAAATGTTGGTGGAGAAGTGTGTGTGCAGGACGTACATGTCCGCTGTGATGTGCAGAGGTGCTGAGGAAAGACAGGAGACACAGCTGTTCTGGGGACTTGGAGCCTGTGCTTGCATTGGCAAACATTTCTGCAGCTTCCTGCACTGTTTGCACATTTGAAAGTGTGCTACATATCAATGCCTGTGGAACTTATTCTGCATGGCGCTCAGCATTTTTGCCTCAGTCAACTCCAACACATGAAACAAAGCTTTATTGGCTATTCAAGTACTGTAGTTTCATCCAAGGTAATGACTCAGAACAGGTCATCTGAGATAGTGAAATATCCATGAAATATTACATCTATGTTTGTGTTGAGATATATGAAATATTTGAGCGACAGCATAGGTAATTATCTGTATTCATGTGAATTCTAAACTCCCAGGTTTTCCCTGTTATTGGTGTAGTTTAGTTGCTTATTCATCTTATCGGACATGCGATAAACTCCTCCATTAAATCAAATTACAAGAACAATAGCATTTCACAACACACCTGCGTGCAAACACTGGCTTAACTCATGTGGGGAGGAGTTCTGTTGGGTAAACAAGTGAACACTAGACTGAGCTGTAGCCAAGACATGATGCAACCACCAGAGCCTGAGGAGGCGGAGTGAGAGAGAAAACACTTAAGGGAAACGCTGTTTCAATGGCACATTTTGCAAGTTTGACTGTTTTTACAATAATACTGGGACCAATGTGGTGTTAACGTAGTTTTGTTCTATGGGAGGTTTTCTTTCTCTTTCTATTACGTCCCTTTTAGTTTATGTAGTGTAAATGCAATGTAGATAAGTGTAATTAATATGTGACACTCTGCAGAACTTTGCAGGTGCATTTTGTCAAGGGACTGCAGATGAAAATGAGTCAGCCTTGGGCTATTCACCACCTGTTTATTGTCAGTAACAAATACATTGGTTGAACAAATGGGAATGGGAAAGTGGCACAAGGAGAGAGAGATAAATATTCATCCAGGTGTGACACAATAAATAGCTCAAATAATAGCACTCGTAACTTATATCTGACCTGTCATCACAGATGTGTGACCAGTCAAGTCAGTGTTGACACATCATGCACCTGTTGCTGACTGACGTTTGAGACAGAGGAAATAGACAAAGCTCAAACAATGTCGCCCCCTAATGGTTCATTATTTGTATTACATGCTCCTGCAGCAGACAAGTCATACTTACAGAGCATAAACACTGGTTTGATTGCAACATCTCTTTGTTGACGACCATAACAAATGCTCAATTACTCTGATGTTACGCAATAGCTATACTGAACTTGTCACCTTTGTCTCTCTGTCTGGGAAAGGACAGTGTGTTCTACGACCAGTCCAACTGGCTCACCTACTGAACCGTCACCTCTCTCGCCCTTGTCTTGAGCTCACATATAATACCGCCTCGTGTCCTTAAGGTGTGTCTTGAGTCTGTACAAAATAGGCTGGTTATATTTAAACCCTGTGGCACAAAAGATTCACTTTACCTGTTAGATCTGGCACACTCGGGTGATTAAGGGCACGCTTGCCCTTACATGCAGGCATGCCCCATGCACTCCGAGCAGTGCTGTTTACTGTCAATCAAAATGTGACAACTTCATAGCACGCTACAATTAAACACACTGTTTGCGATGATGGAAATAAAATAGGTTTATAACCAAGAGAGTCCTCTGTGATTCAGATTGAAAGCCTATCAGAAATACAAAACAAGAGGACATACACTAAAGAAAAGGTTTCTTGGGTTATCGAGGAAAAGCAAGTTATATTATTCAGAAAAGAGGGGCATTGCTCTTGTACAGTTACCTCTATGTAACTTTAGAAGACATCATAGTAATTACTGGTCATTATTTGAAGGAAAGGGACTCCATGTTACAGTTATCAGTCATTTATTGTTTTAAACATTCTACCAGCCGAGGCTAAATCTAAATGAAGAGATTCGGATGTTTGCGATGCTACAGTCTAAAGTCATTCAAGTGCTGTGTTGTAACACAGGTAGAGGAGTCTAGACATGTCATTCGAGACAGTCACAGCCAGAGTTCACATACACACACACATACTAATCAGAAAATCACATTTTATATCAAAATACAGACGGAGCCAGTCGATTTGAAAATATTACAATATAGACAATCTCTTGCACTGAAATGATACATAACTGGGCTCTTACATTCCCCAGACATTACTTTATCAGCTTAGTCAAGTAAATGAGCTACTGTCAGCTGTAGTATGGCTCAACCAGAGCTCATAAGATAGACCTCTTCTCATTAGCCTACTTCATCCATCCACATCTAATCATTAATATGTATGTGCAAACCCCTCAAACGCCACAGTTTTAAACTGGCCAAGTAGGCCATCTGCATTTTTAACTTTTGTCAAAATGTAAAACACTGAAATGTATTCACATGTGATTGAGTCAAACTGTTAGCGTGTTCACCCAGCCGAAAATGCCTCAAAAGTCCTTTTTGAAATGCAAAACAGCAACTATATAAAATACCACGTGGGCCTGTTTAGACACAGAGAAGCGTGATCCTGACGTGAGCCAACAGAACTTGACAATTCAACAACCGAAGAATATTCACATTCTCTAATTCTGACTTATATGCACATCGTTAACACTTGTTGAGGCAACATTAAAAATAAAGATATAAAATTAGACATACAGTACATCTGAGGTGTACACAATGTGCATGTTTATGCAGATAACAGTCAGTTATCTGCATATATGTACGTTTTAAATCCTAGTTACACTTGCATGCAACTTTTGTTGTCCAGTCATTCTGGGACAAATTAAGACAAGTGTATAAGAAGGGCAGACTTTTTTTTTTTACATTGCAAACAGATTTAACCTGTTCTAAAGGGGATTTACTCACCCTGTCAACACAATTCTGCATAGTCTAAAATCACTTCAGCCACAATGTCCATAGGAGCATTAAGCAATTGAAGAGAAAGAAAGCAGGAAATAAATAGCCAAATACAATATGTCATGTCAGGCCAAGTGCCAATGCAAAAGAACATGATATATTTATATTACGATCTCAACAATCACATTGAGAGGAAAACCTTAACCATATTCAGCAGTGACAGTTTCATCAAGCATCAATACAGGATCAAGGCAATTCATTATTGACTTACAATAATACAATTATTATGAATACAAACCACATGTATCTCTATTGACATAAAGTTTGATTGCTTTGATGTGCCCCATAAACTGTCCCACCACAATTTATTTGCTGAGATTTGTTGCACGCGTTTGGATAGTTACCCTACGTGGTGACGGCTCCTCGATGCTCCGATTGGCCACGAGGTCCTGCAGCTGCAGGGCCCCTCCGCCAATGAAGCAGAAGGCCGGACACACTGGAGTTGAACAGTCCATGTGTCCCTCCCAAAGGATCCGCAACGAGTGGGCATCATAGAAGGTGACAAGTCCTTTGTCACAGTCCAGACACACTCCCAGTCGTGGTGGCAGAGGAGTGGTATGAGAGTGAGGCAGGTTACTATGGCTGGTACTGTGGGAGTGCACTCCCCCCTGGCTCTGGCTGTCCCCGTGGGTCTGAGTGTGACCATGTCCCTGAGGAAGCAGGATCTTGCCCATGCCTATTGTGAGGAAGCAGAAGGGAGGAGAGTCCTGGCCGTCCTCTGCCCCACTGTCATGGCCACTGTCTGGGTCGCAGCTGGGGGGAGGCAGACGGGGGGAGGCAGACGGGGGGAAAAGATTAGACCGTGCAAAAGAAAAACTAAGCAAAGGAGGAAAATGTTCAAAAAGTTTAAATACAGAATGACCTGAAGATATAAAATACTCCACTTTATACTCTGCAACTTCTATTTGCACCTGTATTAAATTTGAATGTATTGAAAAGTCATTGAAAAGCAAGAATACAAAATAAAACAGTGATATATTGATATTATCAAGTTGGTCATCTGTCCCCTAAAAACATGCACATTGTGTCCTTAGTCCTAACTGCAGCTGTGTTGGAACTCCAATATACACGACACTATACGATTGTATATTTACAGTGTTATGTGAATTTTGTGTGTGAAAACTAAGAGTTCATGTAGTTATGAGACACTCAAAACAGCAGTGAAAGTATATATATATATATATATATATATATATATATATGTGTGTATGTTTACATATTGTGATTATATATGTATGTGTGTGTGTACTATTTACTCTTCCTCCATACTTTCAAGGTGCATTAATCAATATTCTATATCAATAATTGATCAAGTGACTACATGTAATCTGACTGTAGAAACTTGTGTCAGTGAGTTTCCTCAGGGTTCTGAGAGCTCAGCTAACAGAGAAACTGCTCCACAGTCTGAAAGTTGTGGCTTCAAGGCCTTCCTTCATGGTTTGTCTTTTTTCCTTCTGTTAAACCTTAAAACTAAATGAACCATGCAGATAATCCAATAAAAACACTGAATAGGAAAGAACAGGGTTGGAAGTTAGCACCAGCCACCAGCCAAATGCTGGTAAAATATGCAAGTGGCTGCTAGATTTGCTTCACTCGCCCGCCTAAAAACCCAATGTTAATGTCTTAAGTGGCTGGTAGCTTTTGGAATCCACCAGCCACAGTGGCAGATGGACATAAATGAGTCCTGATAGCTCAGCTTGTGGGGAAGGTCTATGTTTAAGAGAGGGCGATTTAGTTACCGAGGGCTGGCCATGTCCTGGGGGAGATGAAACCACTCTTGTAGCTTCTGCTCCTGTCCTACTCCCACCTGCAAACAGAGTCAGAAAGACAGAAATCTTTGGTCACATCAATTGTGAGTCAGCATGTAAGGTACAGATGATTTCACATATGCAACGCATTATAATACCAATCCAGCTGACCAACAAGCATCCCTCTCACCTTTACCAGGTAGGAACCAGGCTCCACGGAGCATGCCCAGTAGTGTCTGCCTTCAGTGACGGCCAAGTCGGCCACCAGCAGGTCAGAAGTCAAGTTGCAAGAAGTGAGTGTGCGGTTGGCAGTCTGCAGGAGGGAGAGGCCTGGCACACTGCGAGCGTAAGTTTGTCCTCTGCCCAATGCCAGCCTGTCAGCATGCAACCCCCAGCGTGAGTCCAAAGAGAAACTCAACACTGAGGGGGCAGGAAAAGGAGGCGTACCAGGAGGGAAAGGAGGGGTGAAGAGGGGAGAGAGATGGCAAGGAAGGTAACGGAAAGGAGTCACGAGGGAGGAAGGGTTAGATCCCGAAGCTGTGACAGTCAGGCTACAGCAAGTCTGATCACATAATGGAATAATAACCAGCGTGGGAGGAGAACACATAATAAGAGGCCGATCAAGAGAAAAGGTGTATTCAAGAGGAAAAATAGGATGGAGTGGTTTCAGCAGGAGGAGGAAATGTGAGAATCAGAGTAAAGGTAACATTCACATCTACATGTTGTTGAAACTGGTTTTGTGAAGGAAGGACAATGTAGAGTGTGACGACCCCTCCACTCCACTAGGTGTCCCTGTTTCCTGGCTCTTCCTTGACTTACAGAATCTGTCATCAGTTTAATGAGCCACACCTGGGCCCGCTGTGGTTCCTGTTATAAAAGCTCACCACCTTCACGTGGAGGCTCCCTCTTCCCTGGCTGATGTGGCTGCTGTTTGGTTTGTAGTAGACGTTCCATACATGCTTCCATGACTAATTACTGACTTGCATGTTTAATGCAAAGGTTAATGTTTTAAATAAATGTGCTATTTATTTATAAACTCGTCTGGTCTCACCCTACTTTATCGCAGCTTTTGAGTCGGGCTGTGACAAACTAACATTAAAAGGGAACCTAGGACAATATAAAGGAACGATACATATTTGTTGTGCAGAAGGACAGACAGGAAAGAGTCTGGATGAAACTGAAATGCAGAATAAAAAGGGATGTGCAGAAGCTAAAATAAAAAATGGGAATAGAAAAAATAAAGGAATGGAGAGAAAAGTAAAAAATATCACAATTAGTTAATCAATTGAAGAAATGGCAATATCGGAAAAATATCAAACTTAACTGTTGGCAGAGTGTTTTCTTTGTTACCAATGCAAACAAACCTGTTTTGAATTTAAAAACATCTTAAGGCATATTACTTATTCTCCAAGCTATTTACAGTACAATTATTTGCAATTAATTCAGTGAAACTGCATTGGAAACAAGGAATGGCCTCATTTGTTTTTAAAAGAATGGAAAGATTATGTTTTTTTGTGGTAAAAGAAATGTTAAAATGTGATGTCAAACAATGGATGCCCATCTCTCACCAGGTGCTGGTGGAGTGTGGAGGTAAACGTCTTCACTGTACTCTCCAAACCCGGCCTTGTTGCAGCCTCTCACCCTGAGCACATACACGCTGTCCATCTGCAGCCGATTGATCACAGCGTTGGTTCCTCTCACTTCATCCAGCCGCAGCCATGCAGTTGCAGAATTAGGAGATCTGGTGCCGCCCCAAGTGGCTGCGGCCCCTCCTGCTCGTCGTTGGTATTCGACAGAGAAGTGCCAAGCTGGGGCCGAGTCCTGAGGGAGGCGCCAGCACAGAAACAGATGGTCATACGCAAGTGTCTTCTGGGTGTCAATGACTGGAGCCAGTGGGGCTGTGGAGGAGACAACGCAACAAATGTGGTTAATTTACTATAATAAAGTATAATTTCACTTATATATGGTTTGAATCGCAGAAACAAAAGAGCCTACCATGTATGAACTCCAAGCTGTGGATGAGCTTGACTTCTTTGGATGCGTCGAGGTGAAAGTTCCTGAAGGAGAGATCAGCTGAGAGAGAGAAACCCTGGAGGTTTTCTATGGCCTTCACAAGCCTGGAGGAGGAAAGACATGTCAGATGTCAGAAAGCAAAATCTTACCAATCCATTCCTCCAAAATTTTAGGATTCAGCTGAATAAGTGTGTTACCTGCTGTGGGTGACTCTGGCAGCCTGTACGAAGCAGGGTGGATCGGTCTCCTTGAGCAGCTCCTGGGTGTAGGCCATCAGGCCAGCGTGCTCCAGCAGGCCTTGCCTCACCGAGACCTGGACCGACAGGGCATCCTCCCTCCTGCTGCGGGATCCCTCCAGGGCCAGAGCCAAAGCCCCCTGACGCTCCACTACCGCCGCTCCCAGCTCTCGGATACAGTGGGTCAGCTGATGCAGAGCCACTGCGCTGTTTGCCTGGAGAGAGACAGAGTGGGGAGAAAGTGCTGAGTTAAACAGCAATGACAGATTCGGAATGACAAACACAGAGACAATGTCGAAGATATTGCCAGCACAGAATTGTGTTATGGCACCAGAGCCCCCTGGCCTCTAGAGGGCCCACTAATACTACCTGTGCCTTTAGCTGCAGTTGTAGTGACGGTTAACTGGCAGGATAGGCTGGGGATGGATTCCCGTTGTATTGAAGCACAACAAAACCACAGTGTGTTGTTGATCAGTGTCAAAAATGTTGCTTTTTGTAAGTAAACATCAGTGCTTTCAGCTTGTTCTCCAAAAGAACAGTAATTATTGGTTGTGTAGACCGCAGCAGTGTTATAGAAGAAACACTGCTGGCCACAGTCATTTCCATTGAACCCAAATATTGCAGCAGATTCTCCAACTATTTCTGTTCAAAGAACAGCATGAGCAAACGGGTACTTTGACAAAACAGAGAAACGATAGTTCACCTCCATCTGTTTGATGGCAGCTTCCAGTTGAGTGATCTGACTCTGTATTGTCTCCTGGTTGGCCAGGACAAAGTTGACTTCCTTGGTAACCTTGTCCTGTAAGACCAAAACATTACATTACAGTCATTTAGCAGACGCTTTTAACCAAAGCGACTTACAATTCAGATTCTATCACATTTCTACACCGTAGGCACAGCTACGGGAGCAAATTTGGGGTTAAGTGTCTTGCTCAAGGACACATCGACATGCGACTAGCGGAGCCAGAGCCGAGGATCAAACCGCCTATCCTCTGATTGAAGGACGGCCCTGCTCTCCACTTAGCCACAGAAGTTAACATTTCAAGGCCGCTAACGTCAAGATCTTAACACAGTTGAAACCGACTCACCTTGAGGGCCTGGTAGGCCTGTGCTATAGGCAACACTTTGTGTCCGTGGTGGACACGGCGGAGCTTACAAAGTGGGCACAGTAACCTCTGGCAGTTACGGCAGTACCACTGCAGTCTCTCCTGCTCATGCTCGGTGCATGTTAGGACCTGGAGCACGGAAGAGGATTAAGGTACAATGACAACAGAAGAGAAGCTACTGTATATGATGAGCAAAACACAAAAACAGACAAACCTTGGGCCGGAAGTTGTTGGTGGGTAGAATGTGTTCGTGCTGAGCTCGAGGGGTTCCCCAGGGGTGGTAGAGTTTGAAACACTCGTTACAGAAGTTGGACTTGCAATCAGCGCAGCCCTTAGAGGCCTCCAGAGACTGGGGAGGCTTACAGAAACCACACATGATGGCTACACTGCCCAGACTTACTGTGTGCCTGTACCTAAAGGGCAGACAGGGGTGCAGGGAGATAAGAGCAGGGCGAAAGCAATTCTGCAGCAGAAAAAAATGCAAAAAAAGGAGGAGTCCATAAAACTCAACAAAGGGAAGATTGAGCTCATCCGGGTTTGCCCTGCTCTCTTTTCAGTAGTTACTCTGGAAGTGCCTGACCTGGATACATCACCACCAGCTGCCTTGTTACTGCATCTTGCGCAGTAAAACATGCACCGTCACACTTTCCTGACCAACACAACCACTCTAGTGGAATCAGCAGCTGCACTCATCAAACATAACTCTCTGCCCATCTCAGAAGGCTTTTTTTTTCCAAAGCAGCTCCTCTCAATTTGATCTTCACAATTTGAACTGATAAGAGAAGAGGATGATCAACATTAAAGAAAGAGTATTTCATTTCAAACTTCCTCAACGTTTCTGTGCTGTCCCTGCAACCAGCTCTGAGGGTCAGTCTTTGATCAGGAGTAAAGGAATGATTCATTATGGAAACTCCTTCTAGCAAATTACTTCTTGTCTTATTTATAAGGCAGTATTGACTAAGCCCTTCATTCGCTGCCTGTCTTTATTGCCTGCAGGATTGATAAGGGGATTTTTTGTTTCTTCTTTCTTTATGATTTTTGTTAGTGAGCTGATGATGAGAAATTATCATGGAGTGAAATACCAAGACAGCACAAGTCATTTTGAGCCTGCAGTGTCAGCTCTTACTACACCTGACTGCGCCTGTGACTCTCTCTGCTACAGTATATTGCTGTATATCTACATGCAAACCTCTCCACAATCCGCTCCAGTGTGAGGTTGCGGAGGCAGTCTGTCAGGCCTTTCTCTCCGAGCTCCACGTCCTGCTGACAGGAAGGACACGGGAACAGCATGGGGGGAGGGGCCGCGTCCTTCCGTCTCCAACCTGGATATGTCCCGCACACTGAGAGGAGGACGCAGGTGTAAAGGAGGGGAGATGAAGGAGAAGGAGACATGGATAGAGATGTAGAGGAGAATAAGGCAGAACTCTTAGTTGTCCCTCACATGTATAAAAATGTATTCAGTGATAAGTAAAAGTAAGTTCACTTTGGAGGAAACACTATTAGCTTACACACACGCAGTGAAAATACACCTGCTCGACAGATGCTTACTGCCTGTTGTGCCTCCTTGACTCCTTGTCTCTGTGGACTTTGCTCTACATGCACTTCAATAAGTCATGAGATGAATGCATAAAGCCCTGCATGCTCAGCGGGATACTGATGTATCAGCTACATCACCTATGAAAGTCGGTTGCTAAAAAGACCGTGATGTCATATCACGATGTCAGTTTTTCATTTTTGCACAATGATGTCACTCTAAGATGACCCAATGCTGAGATCATTCATTTTCATTTTTAAATTCCCATCAGCTGTACCAAACAAACACATATAAGCTCCACATCCGTTCGCCACCTGTTCTGAGGACCCGTTCCAAGCGGTCAGGCGTCCTGGGTGTGGGTCTTCGAGCCTGTCGTGGGGAGCGAGTGTTGGGTGTGGAGGCCGGCGAGTTGGGCTCTGGAGGGAGGTCTGGAGGAGGATAACCTCTCTGTACCAACACCTCAGCCGCACACAGCAGACAAACACTGTGCTGACACGGCAGAAGGACGGGCTGCTTCACCATCTCGTCACACACCGGGCAATGCAGCTCCTGTTCCATACTCTTCATGTTGGACTGGAGGGGGAGAGGTTCAAGAAGAGAGCTGAGTGAGGAGTCACATTCGATAAAGGCTGAGTCACTAGAGTAAAAAAAGAATCCACTGCTCTTTACATTCTGCAGTTCCTGTGACCTGTAAAAAAAGAATGTAGATGAGATGTGTAGGAGTCAGGAGCGAGAAGGGGAGCGGCATCAGACACTGGTTTTGTATAGCTGATGTTAGAAGTATAAAGCACAGGGGAGGAAAATATCTTTCCCCTGACTTCAGGTGTTAGTCCGTCTCAAGCTTCACCTTCCCTTTGAACAAGTCAGATATGGAATTAGCTCAGCTGTGGTATAGGATACCGTGGTTTGGTAACTGAGTATTACACTTCTCCAAGGAAAAATGTTAAAATAAATATATAGCTTTCAGTTGTTACTGGAGGCCCAGTTCCGGTGTTGCATCTATAGCCTACCTAAACGCAGCATCCCGTTTCTATGACAACGCACATCAGTTCTGCCTCATCTATGCGGCCCATGAGCATCTGAAGCCGTTAGCCAACATATTTGATTATAATCACCAAACATCCACCGCTTTATCTGCAACGTTTGGATATAGCCTATGTTATTTGTGGCCTTGCTTTTTTTTAATGTTTCCACCCACAGTGCTCGAGTTTTTGCCAAAAACTCTGTTTGATTGTATTAATGCCCAAAAAATGCCCAAACGGAAGAAAAGCCTCACATTCCATCATCACACACGCAGCCTGTGAGTTCAGATGGGTCGAGAGGAAATATGGCACAAATTGTGGGATTAAATATGAGGGCGGATGACAAAATGCGATGGTGGTATCTTGTTTAAAATAAGCACACTGGTTTAAAAGAAATAGGGTAATAAAATGAGCGTCATACTTACACTAATGCGAACCAAAGCGTCCATGATAGAGGTAAAGGTTTGTAACTCCGCTTCAGCCATACCTCGAAGATGTCAGCGTCACTGCGATACAACAACGAAACCTTTTGTTTTTCTGGGTAAAGACAGGGGCAGGGTATGTCAGTCGTACCGAGGAAAATGCGACCCTGGACCGTAATTGGTCAACCACCACAACAGATTTGCTTGTGTGGGTCTTCTCTGCTCAGTGTGCCGTTATGCGCACGCTGATTCTGTGCGGTCTGTCTCTAAAGCAGCGATTCGCCTCGGTGTAGAAATAGGATGGGAGGGAGGGAGGGGGGGGGTTGGTTAGGTCTGGTTTCAACCATTAAACATGTTACATTGTTAAAATAGATATTGGTATTGTTATGTGTTTTCAATATTTGCATATTTGACAATTTATAAACAACGTGTCCTGGCTATGGGTCCAACCATGAAACAGCGGTTTATGCCCAGTATTATTATTATTTTTATAAGAATTAGTATATTTGAATCGTATCGCTTCCTTCTTGCCCAGTTAGTCAAAATACATCTCCTGGTTGTTGCTTTCAGAGGTGCAATTCTTTTAAATATGCCCAATTGTTTGTGGCCCAGTTTTCGTAGTACCGCTAGAGGGCAGTGTTGTGTAAGAAAAACACGAACAGTCCTCTTTCAATTGTTGTCCGTGTCCGGAACCTTTGGATATTGATCGTTAGAGAAACCGGACTGTAATTAAGAATGCACCAGCTCCTATTTATGGTGTCAGTTGTTGTAGCAACCGTGTTTAGGCGCAATAGTGTGGATGTAGTATCTCTTTGTTGTGTTGGTCGTAATAGTAGCTAATTTAAATATTCGTTGCGATATGTTCGCTATTTCTAATTAGTGTGTGTTTCAACGTCGCACAGTGTCGTTTATGGTCGCCTTGGATAAAGTAAATAAGCGTATTTGTCAGACTGCAGCTTAGTGCAGAGGCTAATAAGCGCAGGGCACATTGAAATTGCAGCAAATAACGTAGCATTTGTTTGCGCAGTGTATTCCAGTATACTCGTGGTCTGTTTAAGTAAAGAGTTGCTCGGTATGTCGGCTGTCAGCAGCCTCGTACCTGCACGGTTCTTGACCATTATAGCTCACCTTGTCATCGTTATCACAATCTTTTGGTCGAGGGTAAGTAACAGATTGGATTCACCTTTTCTAACCCGTAGTGATATATTGCGTGTTAGGTGCGTTCAAAAATAAATTAAAAAATATATATATATATATATAAATATATATATATATATATAAAACCAAAGATTAAGTTAGTGTTTTTCATGCTAAGCTGTTGGAAATGTTTGTTTCACAGGGAAACAACGTGAAGGCTTGCTTGCCTTTGGATTTCACGCAAGAGCAGTATGACGATGAAGACAGGAAGTAAGAACACATTTGACAAATGCATACACACAGAAAGTAAGATGAATTTTGACCCACACAGCAAAGTTGTAGTCAAGACCACCTAAACCGAGACCAAGTCATGACCAGGACCACAGTGTATCAGGACAGAGACAAGTACAAGTCTTTGAGGGGTTGAGACCAAGTCAAGTAGTAAATAAAGGAATTGCAGAGAGGAATTTTATTTGTGGGGATTTTCTTTTGTTTTCTATTAGCAATCACAGTAATGATGTTAAATAAATAAACAGACAATGCAAATGCAATTTAGTGATGTCCCCACTGTGGTGGTCGTGACCTGCCTTATAATAAAATCTGAGGTCCTAATTGTCTGAGAGCGAGACGAGACAGAGACCGACCTCGAGTACTACAACACTGCCACACAGGCGTACACACCCTCTCATATGACTCTCTGTCGCAGGTTGGTGGTGGCATTGGCGGTCACCCTCGGTCTGTTTGCTATAGAGTTGGCTGGGTTCTTCTCAGGAGTGTCCATGTTCAACTGCAGCCAAGGTCTCCTGTGTATCCTTTTAGACTGATACTGTGGGCCCCTCATTGATGATGATTGATAGGAGATGACAATATAATTGGTATATGTTCAATTCCAGCCAGGAGCCTTTGTTGCCATTTCTCCCCCCTTTGTTTCCTTTCTGACTTCGTTACTACAAGGAGCAGCAATTACAATGACATTCATCTTCTGCACAAAGACAGAGAGGTGGGAAATCATTTTCGCTTAGAATTGATGACAGCCTCAACAAAGAGACAGGAAATTGATGTCACATGAAATATCTAAGTATAAAGAGAGATCAGTGGTATTAAAAAGTCATTCTAATTGTCAGTTACAATTCCATGACTCCAAACTCTAGCAACAGGAGTCCATGCCAGTGCCTCTGCTTTTCTTTCTATTTGAGCAGTGGGAGTGTGACATCTACTGGTGGATCCTTGCCTTTTGCAGGTTTGTGTATATACACTTAGTATTGTTTGCCCAAAACCATTTTTTTCCCTGACAGCTATTAAACCCAGCACTGGCTGTCCACTGCAGCGCATCCGTATCCTTGTCTTTCTTTGTGTTTGAGAAGTGGGAATGCTGGACATATTAGGTTATCTTTGCCATCTGCAGGTTTGTGTTTGTGTTGATGTGATTGCATGCATCAGCTTTCTGAGAGCAAAGTGATAGAACCTCCATAATCAATGAAGTATTAGTAATTATGACATATGAATGCATGGAAGTAGTGCTCAGCACTGTTGCACTGTTTCCTCTACATTTCTATCTGTCTCTCCCTCCAGTGTGCTCCCTGCTTTTGTGGAGATTCTTCTGTTTATAGCTGTTTTTGGACTGAAGAAGCCATTATGAAAGACAGTACTGTGAACTTAAGTCTCAAACAACAGATCAATCAAGTGTCAACAGATACTAGCTGAAGAAGATCTGTAGTTCATTATTGAGGTACAGAGGAATGGACGGAAAAACTATGTATAACGACTGTATTACGTGCATAAAGTGTGCCAACAAACAGCAAAGGGATATACAAGCCGCTCTCTGCAATGTTTTTTTATACATAAATATATAATAATGTTAAAGAACAAGCAACAATTATTCTGTTGTTCCCAGTCTGTCCGTCAAATTTCAATGGATATCTTAGAATGTTATTGTAATCTCAAATATATGTTGTAAAAATTGTTTCTTAAACTGCTGTTGTGTTGTCTTTTCTTTATGCTTTTAACCCCTTTGGCGCTCAAGTGTATTTTTGCTTCTCAGGCACATGTGTTTCACAGTGCTTACCCTCGACCAATACTCCTTCACCCAGAGTACCAGACCCTTACCACAACCAGAGTTTTAATCAATTATTAAAACAATAGATGGGTTATAGAAATGGAATATAACGTAGGTATAAAACAGTATGTATGTTACATTAGAATTAAGAATTATTGAACTATTCTCAACAAAGACTCAAAAACAGCAGAAGGAAACATTTAACGAAGACGGTAATGGTAATACACTCATTTACAGTACAGGCTAAATTATTTCTGCAGCTTAAAATGGTTTCATATTCAGTTCAGATTTGTCATAAAACAACAAAGTCTTTCATTGATGAATTTCCATTTGTGTGAATCAATTTAAAATGGATAAACTGAAATAAGAGACACATTTACAATGATTTATAGCTCTGTGGTTTATTCAGCAGATTTAAAATGAAGTTCCAATCTAACCAGCTACATTTCTCTCTTCCTCCATTCATGACTGGACAGCCAATAGTTAGAGCACAACAACGCCACGCTTAAGGATTCACTTTTCCCACACAGTATCAGGATTCAGAGGACACTTCAGGTTCATTATACAGATTGGCATGAGACGTGGTTCCAATACAAAAATAATCTTTATTGTATCACAATACTAAAAGAGCCGTGTACATTTATTTAAAAGAAGAGTAGGACTGAGGCTTACCAGTGGCAAGGTGGACCAGTGCAGGTGAGGATCCCAAAAGAGGAGGCACCCCGATCACACGTGTACACAACACTCACATCCACACGTGAGTGTTCCTAACCAGGGGCACACCAAACTACACCGCACACGAAGGGAGACAGCTACCGGCAGCGACAGATCCGCAGGTGAATCACCTGTACAGGACGAGGGGAGCCCCAGAGATAGTCTGCACAGCGGCGGATGTCCGGCAGACCGGAAGCGGGACACGCGTTTGACGTCAGGAGGGAGCTAAGGGAATTCCCATCGCATTTATATGATGCTCGCCGACCGTGATTGGCTAGTGTTAGCCTTGTAATTAAAAGGGACACCAAGGCCCTGCGAATGGGAAAAGCTCCCGTCTGCTACACTAGCAAGCTAACTGTTAGATTGACTGGGAAAGGACTGTATATATTTTACTGGTTCATTAAAAGTTGTGGCCACCAGGGGGCGTCTATCAGAATGCACTCCAGACAAGATGTTCCTTTGAGAGGTTTATTAACAATAGTCAAACAAGCAATTGTGTGTGGTTCTGAAACAGATATACATGAAATAATAATTTGTAAAAACCTCTATACAACATTGGTTTCTAATTAGGACACACAGGGACAGAATGCAGGCAGTGATAAACAGGTCCGGGACTCCTACAGTCACCACTTAGCAAACAACGAACGAGCTACTAAATATCAGAATAGATTGCCGTGCAAATGACACAACACGTATGACTAAATTAGACTAACACCAAACTTTACGTCTACTTACTGGTTATTTGCACGCACACAGTCTTGAAAGTCAAACTCCGAACAGCCACATAAACTCTAATCTATTTACAGACACGGCCGTCATTTCGCGCCGCCACTCTCGTTCAAGCCTTTTCACTAACTCAATGCCGTTAATATTAGTCCGCGAGCAGCTGACTGCCGTCCTCTTCCGCAAGGGGCGTAGTGCGGTTCCTGCTTGGCTGCTTCTCCGAAACCCGTCAATAGAGGTCGTCCTTCGTCACACTAACGCTAACGTTTGGAAATGGACTGAACCATTTTACTGTTTGCATATTCACTACTCTAAAACACAAGGGCATACATTTATTATTGCACTGTATGTGAGAGCGTTACATTAGATATGTTTGTGGCTAACGTCGGTTGTTTAGCTTAAAGCTAACAGCAATTTGAACGGAAACGTCTATGAACGAACACTGACGTGGCGTTACGTTGTAAGGCATCAGCGTTAAGGTGGCCAATCTAGACTCATTCAAGTGAGTGATCAGGTATTTGAACTGGTCTTCTGAAGTTGATATATTCCGAAATTGATGATATCGTGGCTCAAATGCAACAGAGTCATTCCAGCATCTAGTATCTTTAAAAAAAGAGTGTCGATTCCAAATGTCTTTGTTTTTGATGTGATCAAGCAGAGGAGAACTCATCGGTCGAGTGTATATTAGTGCATCCTACTAAGACTTTGCATCTGTGTTGGAGTTCTACAATAAACTCTTTCTTTGCCCTGTAGCGGTGAACACGGGCACCTCTCTAGTACTGTCCAGCCTGCTGTCAGTGCTGGTGTTCGCTGGGATGCAGATGTTCAGTAAACAGTTGGGATCCACCGAGTGGCTCACAATCCTGGGAGGTTTCCTCGGCTCAGTCCTCTTCATCTGCTCCCTCACTGTATCCTTTTGAACTGCTTCAATCCCTCATTGCTAAGCATTAAACTGCACAATTCTTTAGTATTGTTGAGATATCTTTTTTTAAATTAACATTCCATGCTGTAGTTGTCTTTTGTTTACACATTTTCCAGCAAAAAATTGCTTCCCATTTTTTACCTAACCTGATTTCTCTGAGTAACCTGGTTTCTTGTGTGCATGTAAATGAACAGATATCGCTGAGGATTGTTACACCCTAACTTTTGTTTCCAGGCATTTAATAATATGGAAAATCTGATTTTTGGGAAGGGATTCCAAGCCAAGATATTCCCAGAGAGTAAGTAGTGACATCACTGAAATCAAACTCATGCTGTCAGTACACAATGTGTTATATTCTAATTTTATTATTTTGTTTACATGATGTTTAGCCTGATATTTTTCCTATGATTTGCCAAGTCAAGCGTCGGCTCAGCTTACACTGAAACATGAGCATCCTTGATGATATACCATCTTGCACAACAGTATGCACACTTTATCTGGGATTAGCCCACAATGTCAGTGCTTTGATATATCACTCTGGCTCTGTTCCTCACTTTTGTCATTCATTCTCTGGACTTCCAGTTCTGCTGTGCCTGTGCCTGTCACTGTTTGCCTCTGGTCTGGTCCACCGTGTCTGTGTCACCACATGGTACGTGTCAGTACCTCTGCAGATCACTGAGAACTCCTTCAACTTCATACAACACAGTTAAAAGTAGTTGTTAAATGTATTTTATCCCATTGCTTTTTCTGTCTTTCTATTACAGCCTGATATTCTCCCTCTTTGCCTTGTACTACATCAACAAAGTATCTGCAGCTCTCTACCAAGCAGCTGTTCCCGCAGTAACTCCAGCAAAAGCTGCCAGCAAGGGCAAAAGGAAGAACTGATGAATTTGTTGGATCCCACTTGCATCCAGCAAATCAGTTAATATTTCCCAGGAGCTGATGGCCAGTGCAACACAGCAGTTTCACATTTTGTATAAATGTTTTGAACCCATAGCCCTTGGTGTATTTCTGCAGGCGTTTTAAAGATTACTTGGAAAGTTATGATCAGTTCAATGACTACAACTTTGAAGCCAATATAACGACACATTGATTATTTTTTTCCCCAGCGATCTCAATTTGAACCAAGGCCATTAAAAGAAGCCTGACGGCCATCACATTCCATTGATAACCTTTTTACGATTGCAAAGAGATTCAAACAGGTTATCTGTATTCATCAGCACATCAAGTTGCTTTTTTGTTTAATTCATTTTGTACGTGAACACTACAAGAACACAGGGAATCCAGGGATGAGACAAGAGACGAGGGGGCAAATCCAGCAGGACAGGGAGACGTGGGAAACCGGGAGCAGGACAAGACAAACAGGTGGGTACAACACAAATAATGACCTGGCAGTGAGTGACTGAGAGACAGGGGTTTATAAGGTGACTTAAACAGGTGAGGAGAGTTGTGCTGATGAGGGAGTGCTTGATTACTGATCAGGGACAGGTGAAGGGAGTTGGACTGGTGCTGAGGGAGTGGCTGAGTCACACTGGTGCTGAGGGAGTGGCTGACAGGTAGAGTGCTTGATTAGCGGCAGGTGAAGGGAGTTAGGCTGATGCTGAGGGAGTGAGGAGGGTGAACTAAACGAAGACACACAGAACACACAAGGCAAAGCCTGATCGTGACAATGTCAGTCTGTTTGCTCAGGTAGGTGTGGTGGTGTCCTAAAATTGTGAGCTTTGGA